ATAGAAGCAGAGATGACACAGATATAGACATAGACATAGATACAGATACAGATATGATATAGCTATAGGTGCAAATATAGGTGCCTTTATGTGGATATACACACCCATACACATACCAGTGTCTAGTTAAAACTTCTAATTACATATGTGTAATTTATTTCAAATATATTACCCACAAATCAAACATGTATAACACACATACATATATATATATATATATGTATATATATATATATATCATTTCTTTTAAGTAAGTTACTGAACTATATAAACTTATACTGTAACTTGATGGATGCTGGCAGCAATCACCACACAAAAATGTGACCATGCTGCCCCCCAGTGGCCATTCGAGGAACGCGTGCATATACTATGGGCTTTCAAACTGAGAAGCACTCTGGGACCCTGCAGCTATAATACATTGGAAGAAACTGAAAAACAAACAAACAAACAACAAAAGGTACCTCCAAGAGATTAAAGTAAAATGACCAAGGACTCATGACAACTAAATGATAGAGTTCCAACTTGAACTTAACACAGCCTGTTTTCACATCTTATTCCCACAGTTGAAAGCAGTGTTTTCCATTAATGATAAAAATGTAAATAGAGTGTAAACAAATAGCCAGGAGATAGATACTGTGCCAAAGGGACCGTGCAGAGTGGCATGCAGGGCACTACTCGATGCAGGGCACTACTCGATGCAGAGCTGTCCCAAGTGCAGTCACTCTGCCACCACAACAACACCACCATCTGGCACTGTGATGCTCGGCTGAACCATGAGGTGCCATCAGAGCTCACCTTGTAGAGTTCTTTCTCGCCTGTTGTAGTTTCCTACACAAGGGACTAAGGGAGACATGCTCTTCTGCCAGGGGCCCAAAGACGAGGGGACTATGCCCTAAGGTGGTCCCCACGATGCATTATCACAAGGGTTGGCACCTTTAGAGGATGTGGGGAAAAGGGAGATGAGAGGTGGCCATTGTCCCCCAGCTCACTTACATAGAAAGGAAATGGGTCATCAGATTAGGCATGCCCCGGAGAGGCGTGGTCACCCCTACACTACAGACTTGTTGGGGAGTGGCATTGGGGCCGGCTGCTCCACAGCGATGACCAAAAGCTCCACCCAGAAAAATAGATAAATAATAACTGGCGAGGCTGACCAGGACCGTCATCCACCCGGAGATGGACTGAAATCAAAGCTCTGGTTTCTGCACCTCTTCCGTCTTTAGCCCCCAAAGGAAAGCTCGGGAGACTGCAGTGCTGAGGGTCGCTTTAAGGCGACCCAGCTGCCTGCCTAATGTCTGAAGCACGTCTCTGAGACAGTCTGTAAAACATTCGTTCTGTTTGCTGAAAGATATCCACGAAGAAACTGTTCAGTATCTTCTAAGTGTCCCCTCCTTGAGGATCCAACAGGAAATGTCTGTCACTCTCTTCCAGCTTATCCTGAGCAGCTGGTGATTTTTATCTTTCGATCCTATAAGCAAGTGACCCACTGGTGGCAGGAAGTTCTTGAGAATGGAAGTTGTAGATTGCCTCCAGTCAAGCACCTAGAGCTTTCGGGCAGACAGTTGGTGAGCAAATGTCATCAAATGCTCCCTTGCTTTCTTTGGAATCACCTAGGTAAAGAATTCCCGCTTTCTGAACTGGATCTTTGAATACTACAATACTTTAAATGATTTCTGGAACCTGGTGGGATTTCACGGAAATAAATCCTACCCATGAACAATAATCTCTACAGAGTTACTTCTTAAAAGTTGGTAACAATACTTTTTTTAAACATTTCTAGACATTTGTCTCAAGTTAAAAGTGCATCGTGTGAGACCTGGTTTGTTGTACACTTTCTTGTTCCATCTTTTTAATTAGGTTCCAAACCTGAATAAAATTCAAAAATAGTTTAATTTGAAATTTTTTTTTCAATTTTTTCCATTGTTTGGTATCCTAAGTAACATCATAATAGAAACCTTTGTGCATAAATCTTAGTCCATATTCCTAATTATCTCCTTAAGATGGACATTCCATGAGAATGACCAGATCAAAGTAGATCACTGGTTTTATGAGGCTTGACAGGAGTGACCCAAGCACCACACAGAAAGGCTGCACCCCTGGCATGCCTGGTGACAGATGTGGGTGCCGGGTGCAGCTTGCAGTGTCACTAGACCTATCACCAGTAATTCTACTGTGTCACTGTCTTGGATAAATCAATAGATACAAATGCTATCAAACTATAGCCATAGCTCTAGTGCATTAAAATCATAACACTTCCAAGTGGAACTATTTCTACTTTCCAAATGTTGCATAGGACTGAAAATCATTATCAGTTTGGCAACTCCTCGGCTGACTTCCTTCACATCAACAAGGATGAATTACTGACTAGTTGCACTGGTGCTCAGCGTCTTCCTTCTGGGCATGACATGCTGACAGTATAAGAAAGTCTAATAATGCTGTGTCGCTCTGATTTTCAAATGTGGTGGATTAAACAAGGACATTGCTCGGACATGAGTTCACACTCCTGCTGCCCCCTCATTAGCTGCGCGACCTTAAGCTGATGACCAAACATCGCTGAGCCTCGCTCTGCTGCTTAGTGGTACTGGTGTCACCTGGATGGCCGGGCTGAGGACTGAAAGATTCTGTTCGTGAAGTTGCCTGGTACACAGACACTCAGTAAGAGGCCCTTTTGTTGCCCTTTCCCCTTCTAAACAAGGAACCAACCTCACCTCCCTATGCAGGCAAAAGAATCTCATTATCTTCCACTATGGACCCAACTACAGTCCCTCAGTGACAGAGACCAGGCGTAAATCAAGGACTATAGTCCCCGCGGACTGGGGTACTTTTATTCTAAGAATAGAACATGGGCCCACATGGCGCCCAACAAAAATGGCGTCCAGCCACCCATCCCATCCCTGCATGGACCCTCCCCCACCAGCATCCTCCACTGCTTGGATTTGTCTCACACCCGTGCCTGTCACAGGGCTGAGCAAGAGGCACTCAGGCTCACTGCACAGCCTTCCTTTCATACAGGGTGACAACTGAAGACTCATGCCTAACCCTTGCAACATTTCTTTGTTTTCAACATGCTTCTCTACATGGAGAAGGCACCCCCCGGCACAGATATGATGTTCCTGGCCCATGTCTACACCTATGTGCAACGCACGTTCAGGACCAATGCGGGCAAAAGGAAAGAGTGAGAAATGTGACAAAACGCATGTCACAGGCTCATACATCAGGCCACTCACTGGGCTGTTATAAGAAAAATCGAGTCCTGTGGTCAAATACTGGATTTGGGACACAGTGTATCAGACGGTCCTCCGGACAGCTGTGAGGACACGCAGCCCCTGCAGACAGCAGCGTCTAGTTTGTATAGTGTTGCTTCTTTCAAACATAAACTTTATTGTGGAGAATCGTAAGGCAGAAGGAGGAATTCCAATAACACCTACACAAAAGCATGTATTTTTTTTTTAAAACTTGGCTTTAGTGCTTTTTAAAAATGTGTTTGATTTAAAAAAATCTTTTTTTGAAGTTGACTTAGACCCACCATGGAAATTGAAAAGGTATGAAGGAGGCTTTCTTGCTGGTCAACTTATGGATTTACTCAGATGCCATGAATAATTCAGAATAAAAAAGTGACTAGTGACCATTTAAAATTAGAAATACTGAAATTTAACCTCTGACCTGGCGTGTTATCAAAGCGTAAGAGAAATGGGCTTTTAAAACTTCAGGAGGCAAACACAACTGCTACAAAAAAGAGTTCTCCTAAGATTTTTAAAAATAACACCTATAAATGAATGTTCCCTAACTTACAGCATCTGGGTCACTATTCACCAGGCACCTGAATCTGGAACCAAATGAACAACCAGATAACAAACACTACGGACCTGCACCACAGGGAAACCATGTGCTGGACACGCCTCTGTGCAGGTCAGAGGGTAAGAAATACTCAATACACGCGAAACCATCCTCAAATCCATTAGGCTGCCGGGTCCTTGGGGCAAAACGGGGTTGTGTCTACTTGCGCGATGCCCCTCTTCCCCCCACCCGCACTGCCCTCTGCCCCACCCCACTGTCCACTCTCCTGTGATGTCCCCTGTCCTCCCATGATGCCTCCTCACTACCCCCCCCCCCCACCGCCCCACCAACTGCTCCCTGGCCACACACTGCCTCTCTATCTCCAAAGTTCCTCCCTGGTCCCCCCATGCCCACCCACCGCAATGTGACCCTGCCCAGCACTGCTCTCCACAGTACCCTCCTCCTCCGTTATGTCCCCTGCCCCATGCTGACCCCTGACACCCCATGATGCCCCTTCCCACTGCCCCATGATTCCCCGTGATGTCCCCCAATGCTGCCCACCCCCGCACACCTCCCCCCTGCACTGCCCCCACACACACACACACACACGCCGCCCGCCCCCAGGCCCACCCACTCACCGCATGGTGTAGAGCAGCGTGCCGTCGTCCTCCAGCCGCAGCAGCTTGTTGGGCGTGGTCATATTGTGCGCGATGGACTTCTTCCCGTTGTGGAAGAACGTGTCTGGGGTCCAGATTTTGCTGGCGAGCAGATTGTTGAGGGGCAGGCGCTGCATGGGCCCCTTAAACCGAAGACGCTCGTCTTTCCAGCTTTGTCGGAAAAACACATCTATGGTGTATTCCTAAGGCACAGGGAGGCAGCCAGGTGAGGTGGCTGGTGGCCCTTAGCGCAGCTCTCCGAGTGCAGTGCATACTCAGAAAGGGCTGCGTGAGACCGTGCTCGCACCTACCATTTCCGTGTCGGACACGGGGCCAAAGCTGGTGACGTAGATGTCGGTCCTCACCTGGGTGATTCGCTCTGAAACACAGACAAGTTCCTGGCCTGGGCCCCGAAGCACCATCACCCCATACTTACATCCTCAGTCTGCTAACCAATTTCACTCTTGGCAACCAGAGGGCTTTTCCAATTGTGCCTGTGAAATTTGGAGGGCTTGACAGGCAGCAAGTGAAGCCAAGCTGCTCCGAACTGTAACAGGAAACCAAGTGCCCATCTTATCAAGAAAGGCCCCCTGGGGAGGTGTGGACAGAGCTGGGCCACCTTGGGTGGCTCTTACACACACCCAGCTTCAGTTTCCCCCTCCGCAAGCCTGATCTCAACCTGACAATCTATAACCTTGCTCTCCCATACAGGGTCAGACAAAGGGAGAGAAAGTTAGATGTTCAGGGTGAGGGAGCAAGCCGAGTGAGAAGTCGGGACTGCAGCCCCAGGGTCTGGAGGAAGGCGTGTGACATTGTGTGCACAGTGTGGCCTGGAAGACAACGGCCTGGGGAGGAAGCCGGCAAGACCCGCTGCACCTTACATGGCATCTCGAGCTGCTGGAAGTTCCTATCGTGGGAGACCACTATTTCAATTAAAATTATTGAAAATATATGAAGCCATAAAAGCAGCTAATACTATTGGGGGGAAATGTATATGTTCCTTGGGTACAACTGCGGCCCTGTAACCCGCTATGGTCAGGGATGGGGACCACATCCAGAGTACAGGAGAGCCTACCACATAACCCGGAGCCTCTGGATGGTGTCATCACTGAGTCAGAGCCCCCCTCCCCGCTTTTCTCTCCCTGCCCCTTGCTGTGTGGGAATCATGTATGCATGGTGTGTGTCTGTGTGATGCTGTGGGTTTTCAGTGCCAGTCTCCGACTGAGATGTCAGCCCCAGCAGGTGGCCCTCTGGCTGTTTGGTATCCTCAGGGCCCCCCTCGCAGGACCGTAACACATGCTGGGTGAGTGAGAGCGAACTGTCCGCCAGCAGCTTAGTGGAGTGCTATCTGCTTTAATCCTCGGGGGTGCATTCAAAGGGATGGGGAATAATTCAGAATGTGGAGGAAAGTGGTGCCAAGGAGCCTGTGCGGACTTTTCATGCCGAAAACGCAGAGAATGGCAATTCATGTTCTAAGTGCATCTCCCTGTTAAAAATGCCAGTAATGGAGCAGAACTAAACATTTTCCTCCGGGAATGTATTTCCTGGAGGGTCTCTAACTTACCTACTACTGCAGCAAATTCAAATGCACCACATCCTAATCAGCTAGAGTCAGGGGCACCTCACTTGCCTGGAAACAGCACATGGTTCTCAGCACAAAATTAAGCTGTTCCAACTGTGCCCCGGAAGCACAGTTTGCTATCCACTTATTTTTATCAACTTCCATAGGCTCCAATAAACACTATGATTATGACCCTAGTGAAAAATTAAACGTAATACAGAAAGACATAAAGGACAATGGCATTGAACAGTGGATTTCTGGAAAGGGCTTGCGCAGATATGAGATGGTGAACTTGGTTATCAATTATTTTGCAGCATGGTAATCTCATCTTTAGGAAGACCTAAGAACTGGTTCCTTCTTGAGTGAACCAGAACAGACATTAGGATTATCTGGGGAAAGATAATTTGCAGTGACCACTGTCCCCAGCTTTTGGCATCTGAAAAATTACAATAAAGGATGCAGGGCCTTGGCAACAGCCATCAATCTGAAATCCTTGTGAGGCAGCTCTTTACGGGGTGGTTTGGATCACAGCAGACACAAGCTTGGGACTAGGCTCCCCTTGTCGGGGCCCCAGGGGAGAAGGACACTCACCCCCAAGCCCCGGCCGCAGCCTGTTGTCGTAGCCATCCAAGAGCCCGTCCAGGATCCTGGTAAAGATCGTGATGTTGTCGTTGGTCTCATCTTTTCCCGAACTGGTTGGCATTTGTGAAAAGCTTTGTCACAGAGAAACAAAAGAGTTCAAATCTGTATCAATTATTTCTTACAAATTCTTCTCAAGATATAGAAACTAGGGAATAATATGGTGACTTGTCTTGGAGGGTGGACGAAGACAGTCTCCTATCTGTGGCATGGTTTTGCACAGATACACCTTCATTCTTGAGTGTCCACGGCTGATCATCCATCCATCGGCCTAACATGACACCCCCAATCATCCTGCCAATTCTGAGAAACCATTTATGACAATATTATGCCAATTTTTAAAACAAATTAGCCAGCGCACAGGGACGAGCTGAGCCTATCCATTCATAGGGAGTTTCAGAAGTTTGGTTTCATCACAGAAAAACTGAGTTTTCATACTGTTAGTGAGTCACCCGCCATGGGCGATGGGGTGTGGAAGGGACCCTTAAAAACTTTATGCAAGTTGAAAGATAAGGTTGCTGTGCCCAAATCTCACTGCAGCTGTAATTGGGGACATTTGTGCTCTGAGCCTCATGCCAGGACTAGAGCATATGGTGACAGAAATGATGAAGTCTGTGAAATCTCTCTGGCTTCCGCACCCATCAGCAGTGCTGGCACATTCTGCTCAAGCCCAAGCATGTGACTCAGGGGATGTGAAGTGCGAAGCCCACTCTGAAAACCCTTAGTGGGGTCTCCTAGGTGCCACCTATGATCAGCGAGACTCAGAGGCACAGCGTTCTGTGTCACCCAACATGTCGGACTTACAATAAAACCCCAAGAAGAGCAGGCAGAACCTTCCACAGAGAAACAAAAGCAGGCTTGGCTCGTCCAATTCCATTAAGTTATCCACAAGCTTAGGCAGATGGAGCGGATGGAAATGAGAAACTGCCCTGAGCAGATATGGACAAACTGAGGAAGTTATTTGGAGAGAAAGAAAGTCACAAGTCTAGAAGACGGTGACATGCGGAAGAGCAGGGATCCCATCCCAGGCCCAATCGCTGCTTTCAGCCGTGCAAACAGCAAAATGTTTGCCATCAGCAGGATCTTGACCTAGACACTGGGCTTGATGTCACGGGGAACTTACTGAAAGCCAGCTGTGGGTTCCAAGGAGTTGGCACCCTTGGCCACGGAACTGGCACCTCCTGGAACATCCCTGAAGGGCTGGCTGTGTGGCTCCAGTTCTGGTGATAGCACTTCCTCTTCTGCTAATCGGCTGAGAGCTGGGACCAAGCAAGCGTCCACGCTGGACGCTGGACGCTGGGGCAGAATCTCCATCAGCCTGCCCCACCCTTTCATTGATTGCCTCTAAACAGATCAATTCTTTACCAGCTACAGCCATTTCCTTCTGAATGAGAGAGTATCAAGTTTTTTCGATGTAATTTTCACATCGCCATTAAAATGCATACACTTGAAGCTCTAACAAGGCAAAATTCAGTCCTGTTAGTACAGAGCCTGCAGACACAGTTTTTTACTCTATGACTTAGTGTTGAGAAATATTCACTTCCGTTTCCTCTGACATCCCTTGTAGACTGAGAAGCACTCGGCCTCGCAGACTTAATAATAGGACAAAGGTATTCACATTGCCCTCCAGGTTTGTAAAAGAACAGCAATATTTCGTTCCCGCCAGATTTCGTTTGACTGTTGGTCAAACGAAATCTGGCCTCACTATCTATATCTCAAGGTGTTCATAACTCTTTCGGTTTGGTTATTCAGTTCCAGGCTATATCCAAGTGTCCAGTTTTTGGAAGGTCCTTGCTTAGAATAGAGGTGAGAGCATAAACCCTAGGAGAAAATGCATATCACTTATATGTAGAATCTAAAAAAGCTTAAACTCGTAGAAACAGAGAGTGGAGTGGTGGCTAGTGGGGGCTGAAGGGAGGGGGCTGGCAAATTGGGGAGATGTCAGTCAGAGGCATAAACTTGCAATGAGAAGGTGAGGAAGTTCTGGGGATCTAATGCCCAGCACAGTGATTACAAGCACTGTATTATATGCTTCAAAGTTGCTAAGAGAGTAGATGTTCAATGTTCTCACCACAAAAGAAATGGTGACGAAGCCATGTGATGGAATTGTTAGCTAACGCTACGGTGATGATCATATTGCAATGTATTATATGCCTTCAACTTACACAAGTCTATCAATTCTATCTCAATAAAAAAATTTAAAAAGTTGAAACATCGCTATGAATCAGAAGAAAAGAAAAAATGTATCTTAATGTTCCCAATACAGTTTTCTCAGCTACTCCATTGTGTGTTGTGAAAATGTGATTCCGTTATTATACATCAGATCTGAACACCCTGACTGTCAGGAGGTGCAGACCTGCCTCCGTTCATGACCATCTGCGGTGCCCGGAACAGTGCTGTCATAGCAACTATCACCAGGAACACTGCTCCCATGGTCGTCAGGGGCCCAGCAGATTCAAGTGACACGATGCCACATGGCTGTGCAGCCACCTCACAAACACCCACGTCGCTGCCCACAGTAACGGGATAGGACACAATGCCAAAGAACCCAAATTCACCTTCCACTTCTTGGTCAAAATTAAAAATTAAAAAAAAAAGGTTCAAATATATGTCCACCCATTTACACATAATTACACTTTTCTCAGAGGAATTTCGGTGTCTGCCCAATTCTGCTCTAACTGCGTCTTGTGTTTTTATCTGATGATAGAGGCGATGGCTGGGGATTTGCAGATTTCCTCTCTGTCTTTACAGAAGATAGGACCTAGGAGGTAGGAAACAGATTCTACAAAAGAGCCTGCGAATGCCTCTCAGGGAGGGAGCAGAGGCTTCTCTCATGAACACGAGGAAGCCCCCTTAGCTCCTAGATCACCCTCAAGCATAATCCGCCTGCAGGACGTGGTTACGGGAAGCACGGCTTTCACAGCCACAGAGAGAAAGGCCGCTCCCTGATCACAGGAAGCAGATGACACCCGCGTCCAGGACACTCTCACAGGTGTTCTATGACCTTGCTAGCGCCTCTATCTAGGTGCACAATCTCTAAGGACTGTTTCTTCTTGGGTAGAGAGCTAACTTCAGCTTGCTTTGTTCAGTGGTTGGTGGAAACCAAACAAAATAACACAAAACCATTGGGCTATACCTTCCTTGAACAACAACATGCAGAGTCATCTATGGGGCCTCCAAGTGGGGACGCAAAGTTCCTCCATCCCCACTTTGGATACGCTTGCCATTTTGGTTCTGAAGGCAGGCTCCAGCTTGCCCCCATTTCAATTCTGCTTTGTTTTCTTTTTCTTTTTCTTTTCCTAAACAGTATTGAGTATAACCAAGGAGCTCTGCTGACTCTTAGGTCAGCTCTGAGTACACAACGTCAAAGCTCCAAGGACAAGCTGAAGGCTCAGCTCTTTTGGAGAGTGGGTTCTTGTGAGTTGCAATGAGAGCCATTGTTACTGACAAAGCCTTAGACATATTAAAAACACTTGCAAATGTGGTGACTTACCCTCCAGCATGAGTCAGGGTTAATTAACTAGGTTGTTTTAAAATATGAACTGTTTCCTTAGAGTTAGTGCCTGTTGTCTACAAAACCATGTCACATTTAGTCCACGTGGACAGTGCCAGCATTTTCAGATCACAGTTGCTACCCCCGATCCAGAGTGCCACTTTCCACAGTTTCAGCTACTCACGGTCAACCTCAGTCCGAAAATAATTAAATGGAAAATTCTAGAAATAAGCAATCCATAAGTTTTAAATTGCACACCATTCTGAGTAGCGTGATGAAGTCTCAGGCCCTCCCACTCCATCCCACTGGGGACGTGACACTTCTCTTTGTCCAGCATCTCCACACCATACACGCCCCCCGCCCCTTAGTCATTCGGTGGCAAGCTGGTGATCAGATCGGCTGTCACGGTGCCACAGAGCCTTTGTTCAAGTCACCCTTATTTTACTTAATCATGGCCCCAAAGCACAGGAGTAATGATGCTGGTGATTCGGGTACACCACAGAGAAGCCATAGAGTGCTTCTGTGAGGGAAATGGTGAAACTTAATAAGGAAAGAAAAAAATTCATATATGCTGAGGTGGCTGAGCTCTATGGTAAGAATGAACCTCCTATCTGTGACATTGTGAAGAAGGAAAAAGACATTTGAGTTAGTTTTGCTGTCATACCTGGAACTGCAGAAGTTCCAGCCACAGTGCATGATAAGTGCTTAGTGAAGATAGAAAAGACATTAAGTTTGTGAGAGGAAGACATGAACAGAAAATGTGTTCCAATCAGCAGCAACGGGTTGGACCAGAAAGCATGCAGCCTAGAGAAGACCTCAGCAAGGGACCCCCTGAAATGAGTGACACTAGGCCATTTACTGCCCATGAGGAACAGTCACCCAGATTCAAAGAA